CGCTACCAGGGGGGCCCGACCTTTGGAGGTGTGCCGAAACGGGCAGGTTAGTGCAAATGGCCCCGAGCAGCGGTCTACAACTTCCAACACGGTACCGCCATTGAATCTTCTCCCCCCCGAGTCTGAACAGTCGCGATGTCTGTCGTCGGAAGCATCGCCTGGAACCGTATTCCCGTCGCCTGACGTTCCAATGCCAAGCGCCCAAATGCAAGCCGCATCGCGCAACCCTGGCCCGAATAATCGCAAGCCCCCTCGATCGTAACTCTGTGAACCCTGCAGATCCGCCCGTCTCGGCGTCAAGCCCCCTTCCCAAAATACTCTTCCCTTCGTCCGGCGGCTCAAAATCGCAGGCGAACAAGCCACCCAAACGTGACAAACGCGAATCCACTCGTCTCCATCAGCATGGCACTGGGCAGAGCCCCATTCCACTCATCGCATCGATACGTGGGGGCTGTTTGGGGGGGGGGAGGCGATGGGACGTGTATCGCGTTTCTTTCCCGTTGACTCCCCATTCGGTGTGTGCGCGCGTGCGTGTGTGTGCGTGATGCTGCGTGGTTCGACAAAAGAGAATCCGTCGGCAACATGGAGCAAGAGCCGTGATATCCGTTCCGTTGTTGCGAGAGTGGAACACCCATCATCACCGGCGCTGATGCTTGTTCGCAAGTCAGGGGGTTCGCGTGCACCCGCTCTTGGGTCTCTACCCTCTTCACAAGTGACGAGAAACGGATGGGACGGACGCCTGCTGACCCCCTCGACGCCGTCTCATCCGGACGACTGGTCTGTCACCCTCTTGTACACCTGCGCGCGTGCGCGTGTAAAGGCGGAGAGAGGGAGGGGGAAAGGCCGACGCGCAACACCTCTTGAGGCATGTCGCACTATCCAATCTCTTCGCCGCCCGGTTCAATTTACGTAGAGTATCGCATGGGAACCACGCCCAACGAGCTGGGATTCAATATACCCGTCGGCAACGACGGCCGGTCGTATTCGCCCGCCTGTCCGGTCTCGAGCGTCTGCTGACGGCCTTGAGGGGTTCGACTCGGCTAGGTCGGCACCCGCCCTGGCGAATTCCGTAGGGACTGCGGAGCCGACGATGCGGAGGCCTGTCTTAGTCCGTGGG